CTAGAGAGAAGGGAGAGCCGTTGATTTCAAATCCCATGTACGTTCATCGCCATATCATTGTGGGTATTGAATCCAAGCTTTAATCTTCTCTATTCTTGTTTTATGTATCTAATTGTTGGATAAAAAGGGACATTCAATCTTTTTAACTCATTCTCTCTATATTCTATACAATTAGATACCCCAGTATCCATCATCCATATTCCAAAAAAAAATAACCCAAAATGCTACTGGGTATTATATACAACGTTTCTATGTCAGCGGTTCCGTTTAAAGATATAGAACATAACAGCTATTTGTAAAACAACATTTTCAACTATTCAAAATGCTAAAAGGGATCAAACCACTATTTTTTTTATTAAACATCATTTTTCAAACATCCGTCTAAATAATTTCACATTTAAAATTTGACACTTCAAAAACTTAAAAGCATGTGTATAATTATGTCTTTGAAGTTGTAACAGTGTCTAATCCACACTATCCGAACTCATAAGTGTATTTAAAAGTTTGTTTTTATTTAGATTTCTAATAGGTTTAAATATGGTTTTAATCCCTGCAAATATGACACACTTTGTTTAAGGTCTCTGCAAAATATTTTCTTTTTTTTTTCATCCTTGTAGTATGCACTATTTTTGTTTTAGTCCATTTCTAACTCCGAAACAACTCTACTTAGAATTTTTTATTGTCGGTTGCATAGAATTACTAGAAACATTTAAATTTATCAGTTTATACTTTTTTTGAGCCTAATGAGAGAGTTACAACAATATTAAAACTAAGTATTCGTATTTTAAATATATGTATTAAAAACCTTTTAAAAAAGAAATTAAATACTTTTTTATTGGCATGACAAAGAATTAAAGGATATCTATTAGGCTGGCTGGTACGTCCAGACCCGCCAAAATCCATGAAGTTCTGGTGCTTTCGGCTGACTGAAGAACATTTCAATTTTAGTCTTGTTATTTTCATTTTTGATTTTTGTTTAGAACTATGTGTGTGCCTTATACGGAGCATGTACTAAATTTTTTAAAAGACTCACAAAATATTTAAAAAAAAATATAAAATAAAAAATATATTCTATTAATAAATTATATGCCCTTTGATGTAATTTCACATTATCCCAACACTTTTTCAGCTCTTTGGCAAAACGGATCTACTTCATTCAGTTAGTGATTCAGATTCAGCATTTCAAAATTCAGCTCCAGATAATAACCTCTTGTTCAGACAATAACCTCTAATTCAGACAATAGCCTCCAGCTTCAGCTCGTTGGACCAAACATAGCGTACGTGTCCAGGCGAAAGGTGTTCGCTTGGACGGGCTACTCACCCGAGCTGCCCTGAGAGCTCTCTTGTTGATTAAGCACTCGCTTATCAAAGAAAAGAGATTAAAAACAAATAAGGTACACAATATCAAATTTTCAATTCAAAGTTCAATTACTTTTCACCTTGTAAATGGACTTCGAATAGGAATTACTGGAATTAAAAGAAACATGACTCGGCAAGACGAATATTTATACTGAATTGCATTTGAATTAGAGAAGACAAAATAGTTTCGAAGAGGAGATAAAAGTGCTTAGCTTGCAATTTTAGTTGATTAGACCTTCAATCAAATAATCCCAGCGTCTAACTTTGGAAGAAATTAAAAGATGGACTTAACGAACGGATGGAATGCGACTGTGCGACATAAAATAATAAAATATGTGGTAGACCGTAGACCCGTCCTTTTTGAAGGTCCGCTCAAGTTTAATACGCTACTTACTACTGTTTCCCACAATGACACGGCTACTTTGGGATGTCTATAAGAGCATCTCCAATGGTAAAATGTGCACGGTGCACATGTGGCATGAGAAATGGTCACATAAATATTAGTAAATAAATTCTTTTTCTCCTTATTTGAATGATTTTATACAGTTTTGGTAAGTTTTTCTCCACAATGTCAAGGAGACCGTCTAAATGTTGACATTGTTGTTGACATTGCAGGGAAAAATTTACCAAAATTGTATAAAATCATTCAAATAAGGAGAGAGATAATTTATATGTTAATATTTATGTGGCTATCACTCATGCCACATGTGCACCGTGCACATTATAGCATTGAAGATGCTCTAAGAGCATCTTTAATGCTAAAACATTGACGGTGCCTACGTGGCAAGCGAAATAATTAATTAAAAAACAATAAATAGAATTTCTTTCTCCTTATTTGAAGTATCTTACATCATTTTGGTAAGTTTTTCTTCACAATATCAAACACAATGTCTAAATATAGACATTGTGGTTGACATTGCTGACAAAAACTTACCAAAAACACATAAGACCGTGGAAAGAAGGAGAGAGAAATGTCATAGAATCAATATTTTGTGTCTATATCTCTCATGCCACATGTGCACCGTGCATATTGTAACATTGTAGATGCTCTAAGATGTCATTTCAATAAAAAAATGACAATTTGCTTCCTTTGATGTTTGGGATGTTGTTTAATATATAGCTGTTCGGTTATAATGTTTTTGAACGGAATCGCTGAAGAGAACCATTATTGCAAATGAGAGAGTTTTGAGTTATCATTTTGAAATATGTCATTTTCTATTAATTGCTATGATCAAACAGCTAAATTACAATATCTCTTCTACCAAATCGATAAACTCACTGTTGACAACCCCGCTAACATAATTTGATATCATCTAATCGCTAAATGTCAAACACGCCATTTACATGTAATTCTCTCTCTCTCTCTCTCTCTCTCTCTCTCTCTCTCCCCCTCCCCCTCCCCCCTCCCTCCCCCCCTCCCTCTCTCTCTCTCTCTCTATATATATATATATATATACACACACAATGTTTTAAAAGGCGCTAGGCGCTAGTCGGGCGCCAGCACAACGTCTAGCGCATAGGCGGCTAGGTGGGCGCCTAGGCGGGCGCCTAGGCGGGGATTAATCGGAGACATAGAAATTACAGTTTTATTAATATTTTGCATAAATATAGTTAGAATATGGAAATTGGTTGACTAACAAATATGATTAATAATGCTGTGTGTGTATATATATATATATAATATAAAATATAGACACACACACACATTAACATGCATGAATGATAAGAGTTTGAAACTCAATGGAGTGAGTTTTAGTCCTGATTACTCCAGACCCCCCCAGCCCCCCTCCCCCAGACCTCACTGAAGTAAAAAAAACATAAGATAGATTTAAAAAAATAAGAATTTTCACATTTAATAACATATTATACATACTTCTTAAATTCAAGTAATACTACGTAATAATTATTAATAAATAATAATAACACTTAAGAATATATATGTATATAAACATGTATAGTATTTATTTTAATCTACAATTAGTAGCTTTCTTCATATGCGTTGTTAGAGTTAAAGATACATAATCTCTTAAAATACTAAAATAAAACCCAAAATAATTTTTTTGATGAATCTAGATGCCTAGGCGGCCGATTAAGCGCTCTAAGCGGGTAATTAGGCGCCTTAGGCGGCCGACTAATTCACCTAGGCGCCAAATCAATTAGTCGAAGCGCCGAGACTAAAATCGGGGTACCCGACTACCGCCTAGCGCCTAGGCGGGGACTAGTCGGGCGCCTAGAGCGATTTTTAGAACCATGTATATATATATATATATATATATATATATATCTTGTAGCTTTCCATATTTGAGTCATGAGAGACACATAGAACATATTTTTCTTTTATTGGCCATTTGATTGGAGTTATATTATTATTAATAGAGTTCATATAGTCCTTGACTTGTACTCCGTAGTTGATTTAATGAATGATTGAACCAGTGTTACTTAGGATTAGGCTTCCTCAACTCTCTCCTTTGCCTCTATACATATCCATATTTCCTTTAATATCAACACAGTATAATTAAGACATCTCTACATGTCAATAATTTCATAAGGAAATAGGTCAAAGGGGATAAAAGATACGTAGTATATTCTTAGAATTTTATTCATTCATTTATCATGGATCCAGATATTCCTAAATCTCGTTCTATATGTGTATAATTATGTATAATAATGTGATTTCGATCAATCCTGGAACATAATCTTATCAAACAACTAAAAATGATCTATTTTTTATATTTTCAATTATGGTTAGTTTGTATTCTCTTGTTCTCAGTTTAATCTTTTGCCTTTGTTTGAACGTGAATTGTTCACAAAAAAACTGAGAATTACTATGTACTATCTTCCATTTGTAGTTACAATATGTTAATTTTACGTTACTCACATGTTCTCCTTTGACTATTTTAACCACATAAACTCAAAATCTGATGTTTATAATGTTTCTAGTAATAGAGAATAAGATATGTTGATGGTCAAATATATGTATTGAAAAATATACAAAATGGTGTATTACAATTTACAACTACAAAAGAACGGAAGTAGTATGAATCACAAATTCAAAAAATATAAAAATAACTTGGGAATAAGGTAACTTTGTGATGTCACTAATTACTATTGATATACTATCTTCCGTCTCTTTTTAATCGCAACATGTTTAATTTTACACTATTCACATATATTACTTTGACTACATTTTATATTATTATTTTATGAAAATTTTTTTTTTTAAAAATATTGTTCAATTCATCTCATTACAAATTTTCAAAATCTAATTTTTAAATATTTTTTACTAATAGAGATTAATATATAATTACAGTCAAAGACGCTCGTTGGCAAGTGTGAAATGTTGACCGTTGCATCTAAAAAAGAACGAATGAAGTATTTTCTAACCGTGTTACGGAGTATAAAAGATTTTGCAAATTTTATTTCTAATAAAAAAATATTTAAAAATATTTTTCTCTCCTCACAAAAATATTAATTACCCCATTTTACTTTACTTTATTTCTGTATATTATTTTTACAGAAAGTCAATAATATTTTACCAAATTGTTGTATGGAGGGGAAAGTAAGTAGTGTAAGAGAATAAAAGTCAAAAAAATGCCTCGTGCCTGTTGTATAAATACAGGTTAAAGCAATCTCCCTTTTTCTCAATCTCCCTTTACAGAAAGTCAATAATATTTTACCAAATTGTTGTATGGAGGGGAAAGTAAGTAGTGTAAGAGAATAAAAGTCAAAAATGCCTGGTGCCTGTTGTATAAATAATACAGGTTAAATCAATCTCCCTTTTGGCCATCACATTTTTTTCAAATAAATAAAGGTGGAGGAAGCATAGAAAGAAAAGCAAGACCAAAAAGGACAAGGAGACAATAATGGTTAAAGCAAGAGTCTTCTTCTTCTTCTTCATATTGGTGGCTGTAGTTTTCTTACAGCTGCTTTCCTCATCAATGGTGAGAAGCGATGCTGCAGGTTCATCCGTTAAGTTTCTTCCGGGATTCGACGGCCCTCTGCCGTTCCAACTTGAAACCGGGTCTGCTCTCTTCCCATATCATCCTCTCTTTCCCAATTATCTGATTATTTATTTCCTCCTTATTCTTAAGTACTGTATATATGAAGCTTCTAATAATTAATACTTAATTAAATCTACACTATTAGCTTCTTCTTCACTGTTAGCGTTTAGTGGGGACTGGGAGAAGGGGGTTAGAGGTATGAGGCAGTTGGTAAAAAATACTCTTTCCATCCCACTAATGTTTACACAGGAGGGAAGTTGTGCAATTATTAAGAAAAACATTTTACTTAGTTATTGAATTGGTAAAGTAAGAATGACTTAAAATAAAACAAATTTTACCAAATTTGTTAGGAGACAATCTTAGGATGTTTTTACTTGGACTGTTTTTCAATCTCAAACCAGATCAGACTTAAACAGACCAAATCAAACTTAAACAGACCAGACTTTCATAGTTATAAAATACACAGAGATCAGACATTTACCAGACCAGACTTAAACAGACTAGTTCAAACAAGACCTGCAAATTTCAGTCCATGTAAAAAATCTTTAGTGAGAAGAACTGAAAAATAAAGATTGAGACATTTGTTTTGCAAATAAAGTAGTATTCGATTTTGCCAATTTTACTTTTTCTATTATCTCAAATGGAATCGTCACTTTCTCACTAAAGTAATTAATCAATGATTCAATTAATTTTCCTTGATTCTGCACAAATTTCAATATACTTTTGTAGAATTACCACTTTTTCACATTATTTTTATTTTATGTTAAACAATAATTTTAACACCCTAAACTTTTGGGACGTGTTAGGTAAGTATCCATCTACCCGAACTTATATGCGGAGTATGTAACTTTACACGGTGTATTACAGTTACTTTAACACTATGACCATATTATTTTCTTCCAAAATGCAAATTTATGGTGTTAAATAGGAAGTACATAATTGAGTAAACTCTAAACAATATTTGTGAGTAAGGGTATGGGGTAACCACCTATCCAAGACCGCAGACCGAAATTCCCAAAAATATTGAACCAAAGACTGGACCTATATTATTTTATTTTGATCCTCGAACGAACAGACCGTATTATTCCAAGTTTTTCTGCACTGGATAGTAAGCGTTGTTTGTTTTAATTTTTGGAAGTATTACTACGTGTGTTCTATTAACTTGGAGTGCTGGTTTACTAAGAGATGCTTTAGAAACATACTTTGTAGTCTTCCTTCAAAAAAAAAACATACTCCGTAGTCCGTATGATTCATTTATTAAAATAACACAATAGTTGTATTTTAAAATGTCAATTATAACTTCCCAGAGCATTGCTCCCTTACTATCGCTCCCACCCCACCGTCACCCTCACTGATCACAGGAGTTAAGATATGTAGGTAGCTAACCGGTGGGCGTAGCTCAACTAGTAGCGAGCGAGTGCCACAAGGGTTAGGTCCTGAGTTTGAATCACGACAACTGCGATGAGAGGTTACTATGTTAATAATGCATAGGGCCTCTGCAAGTACCGGGGACGGAGCCCCACTCTCTATCTATCAGATTGTGATTATAGTCCAATTTATATCCTCCCATCGTGTCGTCCAGTCGATGTTGGGGGGCCCTCGGGAATGAGATGTCATCCTTTTTTAGATATGTAGGTAGCTAGTACGGGGATGTGGTAGGGGTAGACGTGGGGGTTGGGGTAGACTTAAGTAAGTGTTATGGGTGATGGGGTGAGGCTAAGGGTAGACTTAGATAGGTGTTATGGGTGATTGGGTGGGAGTACTGTGCTCCGATGACTTTCATTATGACGTGGAATGAGTTACACAGAGATCAGACGTTTACTAGACCAGACCAGACCAGAGCGGACCAGATCAGACTTAAACAGACCAGATCAAATCAACAAATTAGAATCCAAGTAAAAACATCCTTACTTGGTAAAACATTGGAGCAGGGTGCTTCACTGCTCCCTAAGCAACACTATAAGGTACGTAGTATAAAAAGTGTACAAACAAACATTCATCTAAAAAATTATTTACGGAGTATATCTTTACAAGTTAAAGTGAAATCAACTACAAAGTAAAGATGTCTTAATTATTTTTTTAACCATGTGGTATTATAAATTATACTCCTTAATTTATTTTTCTCTTAAAGTTGTCGTTTTGAACAATTTTTGATCAGGTATATTGGTGTGGGAGAGTCCGAAGAGGTACAACTCTTCTACTATTTCGTCAAGTCAGAGTCTGATCCCAAATCCGATCCTCTCTTTCTTTGGCTCAACGGAGGGCCTGGTTGCTCAGCCCTTTCTGGCCTCATCTATGAGATCGGTAACCTCTTCATTTAACCAGTAGCTTGTCAATTATCACCGACTCAATCTTGCACAATACACATATCTACATACTTCCACCCCTCCGTCCCCCAGTTAACTTCCCACTTTCCTTTTTGGCACTTCCTAAATTAAGTTCACACTTCAATACTTTCCTTATTTGTCAAATTATCTACATCAAAATAGTGTCAAAGAGTGTCTAAACACTGTCAAACAGTGTTTAAACAGTGCAAAACAGTGCACTCCAAAGTAAAGTCAAATTTATTTTTTTAGTATTCGTGAAGTCAAACCAGGAACTTAATTGAGGGACGGATGAAGTATTACATTAAAAGTTTAAATATGATTTTAGTTCCCGCAAATATGACCTACTTTGTTTTAGATCCCTGCAAACTTTTTTTTTGTTTTTCATCCCTGCGAACTATTTAGATGTCACATTTGGAAGAAAAAAAAAAACTTTGTTGTAGTGGTAAGTATATACTACCGTTGTATATATATATAGGTCCCATTACATTTGAACCGTTGGAGTATAATGGAAGCCTTCCCACATTGATTTCACACCCATATTCCTGGACAAAGGTAAATGATCACTCCCTTGTTCTAACATACGAATTACAATTATTGTGTTGTACAAAAATGATCGAGTACCATTGGCTTTTATTGTTATTTCTCAATCAGTCTCTGCCTATTATCTCACCATGTTTTACGTTTGATGAAACTATACTTTTTCGGGATGTTTTTAACCCGGCTATAATTTTCTATTCTTTGTTATTGATATTATCTTCTTAAATTTGGTTTGAACTGATATAATGTGGTTCAGTTAAGATTTGCTTATGTGTATTATAATATAGCCTAAGTTAGTCATGACTTATTTAAATTTGATTTGGTTTAATTTAATCTGATCCCGTTCGGAGCTTAATTCCATACAATCAAAGACCCTCTTAGAAATGAACAATTACATCTTTATTATATTATTAATTAATACTTTGTCCCCAAGTGGCCAAGTATATTTTTTTTGAAAGGGTGGCCAAGTGTATTAAATACTATTATTAGGACTAAAAGTATTTTTTATCACTCTATTTCTCAATTTGTTAAATTTTTGTTAATTGTCCAATTAACGCAGAAATAATTGAAGAATATGTGATAATAAGAAGAATAAGAGGTGTTTGGAATTGATTCTGCTTATACTTTTTCTTTTTTAGAAAACAAATAACTTAATTATTATTGATAAAGATGACAAGAAACATAACAATCATAAAGCTCAAGGCTACAATGAAATGAGACATAGAAACGGACAATACAAATCGAAAACGCCGAAATCGCTAATCCTGCAAAGAAGTAGACTCTACCTGCAGATTGAATGCTCCTGCTACGATCACAATAATTATCAAAAGAACTGTTAAACATCCCGGTTTGTCCAGCCACCGGTAAGGAGTCAACTATAGAATTTGTTCCGGTTTCACCGGCCACTGGAAAGAAAGCAACCCAAATGATTTCATCTTTCTGAAAAGGCGGTGGTTCAGGAGGGGGGCGATCCGTCTCGATATCGGCGTAGAAGAAAATCATGTTTTTGATTGATAAAGAGATCAGTGCAAACCTCTTCTTAGCACACAAGAACGCCTGACCGAAAATGGCGGGGAATATGAATCTGGCAGACGATACTTTTTAACTATCGAAAATAATATCTGGAAACAACGTTGGGAAAGAAACAGATGAATAAAACTGAAGACACACATTAAGAAGATATTTTTCCATTATTAGAATCAAAGAAGATTGAAAGAAGAAAAGAAAAAAGAGAAAAGGAGGAAGTGACGGCTAGGGTTTCCCCATGCGCCATCGCTGCTCCTCTCTCTTACTTTGCTTATGCTTCTTTTTTAAAAACTGGTATCTCCGGCTTCTCAAAAACTACTTCTAAGAATAATTTGAAGCGCTTGAAAGTACATTTAAACTTTCATTTAAACACTCAAATATTTGTTTTTGCTCTCTATATTAGATGATGGAGTTTTCAGATGCAAAGCACAAAGTGTCATCATTTGTGATACAACATGTGACAACCGTGTTGATACACGGACGATATCTGTTCCTTAAATTTATATTTAAAATAAAAATTTACTAGATATTAAAATATACTCCTCAGTCCCTGAAAATACTTCTCATGTTAGTTTGTATCGGAGTTTAAGTAAGTCAAAATAAAATTGAAATGTATGATTGTGATTGAGTAAGAAAAATGTAAATAAATGTTAGTCACACAATACTTTCTAAATAGGAAAATTAAAAAAAAATTTGGGGCATCTCAAAAAGATAAATAAGAAGAATTTTCAAGGAGGGAAGAAATATATGAAATTCAAATTCGTATAATACAGAATTGATCCAACATATAAAGAATAAAATATATTGTAAACCACAGGAATAATAAATGAAAAAGGCAAACAAAACTATTGCTCTTTTCTTCGGACTAGACTTTGTTTGTTACTCCGTCTTATTCATGTACGGAGTAATAAACATTACTACTTTTGTTTCTAATTTTGAGTATCACTCTATTATCAAATTCAAATTTAAGTCTTGCAATCCGATTATAAATATCTAAATTCAAAATTTTAGGAATAATATACCCAATTTCACAGATAAATTCATTTTATTATCCCTCAATCGTAATTGGCAATGTCCAATCATAGAAATGGACTAGGGAGCATTATTAGTTGTGCATTCAATTTCCATTATTATTTTTGCTTAATTTGGTTGTACGTAGTAGTTTGGGTGGTGTACACCTTTTTGACGGTAGAACACGTTTGGTTTGGTTTGGTGGTAGGTGGCAAACATAGTTTTTCTGGACTTACCGGTGGGTACAGGATTCTCTTATGCAACCACGCAAGCTGCTCATCAGTCAAATCCTACTATGGCTTGCCACCACGCACATGAATTTCTTCTAAAGGTCTTATTACATACATGCATGTGCCTTTAAATTTCTACTTTCCCCTCATAAAAAAAATAGAAATTATGAGTAACGAATTATGCACAGGAGAGAAACATATAAGAATGAGTAAGGGAGGGTTTGCGATTGTTTGTGCTTTTTAAAAGTGATTTTTTAATAGACTATTGGAAAAGTGATTTGTAGTAAAAGTTGATACTGTTTGGAAATATAAGTGATTTTAATTAAAATGTAAAAGTTGGAGTGTTTGATAAAAATGTGATTATGATGGAATAATTTTTTCAAAAGTACAAAATCACTCTTTAAACTTTCGGACATAGGGTAGGGTATACGAATAAAGTTGGGGGGGGGGGGGGTTAGGGGATTTATTTGCCATTATTATTAGTCATAAAGTTGGAGGTAATTACAAGTTTACCTAGAAGCTATTAGAAGTTGGTATGCTCTAGTTTTTAGATTTTGACTTTAAAGCACTTTTTTAAGCAAAAGTTAGGATTACCAAACACTTTTTTGGCTTTTTTTAATCTAAAAACTCCAAAGCATTTTTTTAAGCAAAGGAAAACACTCCCTAAATGTGGTGAATCAATAATGTTTCGCTAAAAAGGAGAGAAGCTTGTCTTTGGACAGACGAAAACGAAAGATAAAGATAATTTAGAGATGGAAGGAGTAATATTTATAAACAATTACGCTCTTGTGACATGTCAAACTTTAAAATATTTATGATGATAGCACGGCGTTTTTGCTTTAAAAATTCACATCATTTATCGATTTTATTAGATGGATGGTCACGATTAACTCTTAATTTCAAAAGTAATTTTTTTTGTTCAAATGAGAATATGAGAATATGATCTATAAGGGAAAAAATGAGAATGAATATGGAGCAATGAATTTGCAAATTGTGCATCATCTGAAACTGAAAAGTGCACATACATGCATGGCAAAATGTTTTATGATGTTACTCCCTCTTGAGCCATTGTTAATAAAATAAAGGCTAAAGGGTCAAATAGGTACATGAACTAACTTAAAGTGTTCAATTAGCCCCTTATATAGGAGGTTCTGCCCGGCCGTCGCCAATTGGGGTGGGTCCCGGTTTATTTTTTTGATGAAATTTTTTGAGCATCTTCTTCATTAAGTCTAGTTTACCCATATCAAATTTCAGCTAAATATTAAATCGGGAAGGCAGTCAAATGATTTTCCGAAATGTACTGCGTTGTTTAACTGCGCAGTTATCTTCAAAAAATCATTTGACTGCCTTCCCGGTTGAATTTTTAGCTGAAATTTGGTATGGGTAAATTAGACTTAATGAAGAAGATGCTCCAAAAATTTCATCAAAAAATTATACCGGAAACCGCCCCAATTGGCGACGGCCGTGCAGAACCTCCTATATAAGGGGTTAATTGAATACTTTAAGTTAGTTCATGTACCTATTTGACCCTTTAGCCTAAAATAAAAAGTGGTTTATGTGGTTGATATTGAATTGATAAAGTAAGAATAAAATAAGAATGATTTAAAGCCACACAAATTTTATCAAATAAAGTATGTGGCAATCTTAATGGAACGGACCGAAAAAGTAAAATGGAACAATCTTAGCGGGACGAATGTAGTACGAAGTATGCATGATTTAGATCAGAAATGTTCAAATCCATGATCCATAATGTGCTCCGTTTCTCATCATTCTCATTTTTAACAGGAAGAACCATTTTCATGGCAATCAGACTCTACATCTATGTGTATATATTAATTGTTATGTGTATAACTGTATATTGCATTTTATGGAAATCAATATTTGTGCAGTGGCTAAATGATCATCAAGAGTTTATTTCTAATCCGTTCTATGTTACGGGTGACTCCTATTCAGGCCAACTTGTTCCTATTATCGGTCAACTCATCTCACAAGGAAAGTGTCAACTCTACATTCTCATTCATTAATTACTAGTATTTGTTTGTGATAACGATTATGATAGAGATTGGAGAATAAGTTTAGGAAATGTAAAATTATACGTCAGTCCTATAATACGACGTATTATACAAAGATTATATTTGGAAAAAAATTACACAGAATTTTTTATACAAAAATTTAGACATTTTGAAAATTTGGACCGAGCTAGGGCCATAGTTGGCCCCAGGGGCGGAGCCTAGGCACTAGATCGGACTGGACTGATACAAAGATTTTTTTTTAGAAAAAAAATTACACGATATTTTTACCTTAAAAATTAAGCCATTTTGAAATTTGGGGTGGGCCAGCGCCTAGGTTGGCCCACACCTAGCTCCGTTCATGGTTGGCCCTCCCCTAGCTCCGCCCCTGGTTCGGGGTTTTATCATTTTTAGGAGCTGTTAATTTAATAACAGTTCCCCAGTTTCTATAATTATTTTTTAAAGATACTATTTTGTCCCAATTTGCTAAATTTCTTATTTTAAGTGTCCTAAACATATTTTTTCGTTTTCCTATTATAAGAGCATCTCCATTCATGATCTCTAATAATAATCTTTTTCTATGATTCTTACCATTTAAATATTGTTATGTAAATAATTTTAAAACAATCTCAAAATTCGTTTATGTCTCTCAATCATCATCTTCAAATAATCTTCTTTGTCTCTGTCCTGCATTAATCTTTATTACATATACTTTTCAAATAAACTTAAAATAATCCGGATTCATATTTTGGTCCCAGATTATTGTAGCAAATAATTCCATTAAACAATCTATGTCAATGATAATTTTCTAAAAAAAATTGTCATGTCCAACTTAATCTCACAACAATCATACCAATGAGTATGCGGTAAGTATGAAAAAATGAAGTGACAAATGGGCCTCTACTTTTACTCTCTTTCCATTTACTTAAGGCTGGTTTGCAACCACTTTAAAAAAAGCACTTCTCAGCTTTTGGCTTAAAAAAGCACTTATTTACCAAACACTACCAATTTTTTATTTTTCTCGGCTTTCGTGTCAAAAGTGCTTTTCCACTTTTTATACACCAAAAGCACTTATTTTACCAAACACTACCAACTTTTACTTTTCAAAATCACTTTTTTCTCAAACACTATCAACTTTTACAAATAATCACTTTTTCCAAATCACTCCAAAAGTGCTTTTTTTAAAGCAGAAACTGTTGCAAACACTCCCTTGATAGAGAAAGGCAAAATAGAGAAAGGCAAAATAGTAAAATCATACTTTGTTATCTTCTTTAATCCTCGTTCCATTAAACTTTTGCAAAGGAATATAAGACATGCATGTAATAAAGATCCGCCTTGTGTCGAAACATTTGGGGCGGGCCCAATGTGGTCTGTCTTTGAAATTGGACATGTCTGCCTCGCCTGCATAAACGATGGGCATGTCGGATATAAGTATTGACTCATAGTCCAATATATAAATAAATAAATATGTACTACGTACTCGGTATTATATAATAAATCATAAATTGATTAATGTAAATCTAATAAGTTCTGTTTACAACACAACTAAAAAAAGCACTTCCCAGCTTTTGCATTAAAAAAGCTAAAAAATATGTTTTCAAATAACAATTTCTACTTAAATGAATTACTTAAAAGCTAAAAGCTAGAATTTTTTTTTATTTTTTCTATTAAACAAAAAACACTTATTTTACGAAACACCACCAACTTTTATTTTTCAAAATCATTTTCTCTCAAACACTACCAACTTTTACTATTAATCATTTTTTTACCAAATCATTTAAAAAGGTTAAAAGCACTTCCCAGTTGGGTTTGCAAACAGAACCTAAGATAAACACATATTCATAAATCCATTACAAGTATATACACATATATCTGAGTGTATACTACTCCGTATATCTTATAACATATTAATATTTGTTTTTAGGATTTTCAATTATAAATGTAAATAGATAAACTATTAAAGTCTACTAGTTCGTTTGTTTTTAATTTTTGACACTACATCATTTCAATTCGTGACTTTAACTACATCATTTCAATTCGTGACTTTAACTTATTATATACTCCGTACTTTTTAAAATTATTTGGATAAAGGTACATTTATATTCAAGTTATATAACTACCTTTGATAATGCACACTATATAATTAGATTACAGTGCACGGGTGGGGCGGATAAAGGGTTGTATATGAACCGAATCGAGTCGAATAGTAGGATTTTGTATTTGTATTTGTTTAATTTTTTCGAATACGAATTCGAATTCAAATATGAAACGAATATTAATTTCGATTTGTATTTGTATTTGTTTAACAATACGAATAGTTAATGAATCTTATACGAATATCAAATAGATTTGAGCATAGGTTAAATATTAGTCAAATATCACTTAAAATTAAATTTTCTTATATTTTTTATGTTGTAAATGTACGCTATGATTTAATATGTGTTTTTAGAATTTAAATTCAATGGATCAATGCATTTTTAGATTGTGCACAATATACTAAAGTGAATCAATTTTATGATTAATAAATATAAATCTATTTCAAACTTTTTGAAATAAACACTAACACACACATATTAGAAATTACACTTATAATGTGTGAAATAAGTTGATAATTGTATATATCAAAGTCAGACGACTCTAATTTTATTCTGCGAATCGAATACATAATTATTTGTATTGTATTTGAAAGACATTTGAACCAAAAATCCGATTTGTATTCGTATTTATACTATGATTTATTACAAATGGACTTAGAATCTGTATGCGTAAATGTATATATGAACTACACTTTAGGGTATTGCTATCTTTTAAAAGTTATTATAGTGTTATTACTATTATTATTAATATTAGGGAAAAGGTGCAAATAGGCCCATGTACTAACCAAAAAAGGTCAAATAAGCCCTTATTTAGAAGGCTCTGTCTGACCGTCGTCATTTCGGGTGGTTCCCGGTGGAATTTTTTGATGAATTTTTTTGAGCATCTTACTTATCAAGTCTAGTTTACTCATACCAAATTTCAGCTAAAACTTCAATCAGGAAGGCATTCAAATGAATTCTTGAAGATAACTGCGCTTCTAACTGCGCAGTTATTTTCAAGAATTCATTTGAATGTCTTCCCGATTGAAGTTGTAGCTGAAATTTGGTATGAGTAAACTAGACTTAATGAGTAAGATGCTCAAAAATTTCATCGAAAAATTCCACCGGGAACCACCCCAAATGACGACAGCCGGACATAGCCTCCTAAATAAGGGCTTATTTGACCTTTTTTTTGTTAGTATATGGGCCTATTTGCACTTTTTCCCTTAATATTATCACTATTATTAATCGAATATATTTGATTAATATTTGAATCGAATACACTGATATTCTTATTTGTATTTGATAACAAATCGAATCAAATTTAATATTCATATTTGTATTTGAATTTTCCGAATTTGAATCGTCTTATACGAATTCGAATCGCGAATCGGGCACAAATTATTTGATTCGTTTACAACCCTAGGCGGATTTGCCTGGCACGGAGCGAGCGACGACCAACATCTAGTGACTCATGTGAGTCAGAGAGGCGGGTTGGTTGTAGTAAAGTCATGGGACATGTATGCGTTTTACGCTGCCCGCTTTGCCCCGATTAATACTTCATTAGTTGTTCAATGGCAAAAACTTATGAGTTGTTTTGTTCATATTATTCTTATTATTTATTCTTATTTTATTCATACCACGTCAGAGAAAATTTATAAAAAAAGACTTAGAAGTTGTGTTCAAGTGATGTGTTGAGTTTGGCATATTCACAACGTAAAAAAATGTGCTTTATCCATATGATATTTAGAAATAATTACATATATATGACTCAAATAAATATTATGTATGAAATGTGACCTAGCTTCTAAGAATAGTGACTATATAGTAGCAACTTAGTCATAATAACTTATGTTCAACTTTTAGATTTACGTGTCTATGAGTAAAAACAAATGGCCCTAAGTAGGAGTAAAAGCGTTAATGAATTCCAAAACAAGGCTTATAAATTTTATTTTCTAAATATTAGTAATTAATGTCATGTTTTGGTATATTCTTTAAACATGACAATGTTTTTCAATTTTGACGGTAATTACTTCTATTTATAAAACAAAACACAATACTTACAGTACGTTTGAAATTTAAAAACATTTACCTAATGTTAATCATGGAAACTTTTGTTAAAGAGAAATGAATTTCATTTGGAACAGTTGGATTAAAGAGTTGTTATTGGATGTGCTCTCACTACTTCATCCTTTTGATAATGCAGGGAACGAAAATGGAATTAGTCCCCAAATCAATATGAAGGTTAGCTGTTCGACTGAATCTGTCTCTACATATTGCATTTCGTCTGAATCTATCTAAATTAAATAAATTTGGGCTGAAATATTGTTAAATCGGCTGAGTATGGTGAATTTCGAAAAAATATGGCGAAAATGATGTTGAGATTATTCTTGGTATTATAGAGAACCCTTGGTATTTAACATAAAATTCTAAGGCTGAGTCTTGGTTTAACATCCTTTTGATCAACACTTCTATCTTCCAACTTATAGAGAACCAACCACATATGGCGAAAATGATATTGAGATTAAACGAGTTTTAGTTTGAATTCACCCCGAGAAGAAGAGCGGGGATTAGAGATGTGCAAGTAAAGTTGAGAGTATTAAATAAACATTAATTTGAATTCACTATAATTTATTCTTGTGGACGCCGTTATTAGTTCGAATTATTTATTGAATACTCTTAGTAGGGATTATTATTTTAAAACTATTATTTATTCTCATGAATTTCTGCCGATTTCAACAATGATTCAATAGAAGTCAAATATCAATGATATTTCAAATACTAATTGTGCGCCCTTACTCTTTTGGGTCAATCTCGATAGCTTAACTAAAAAAAAAAATGAATATAATTTCAATGAAACAAAATGAGTGAAGTTAATTAAGCCTAAATGGTATACAAAATTTGGTACAAAATATTATCTATTCGCTACTATGGCACGCATGATTGAAAATGAAAATTAAGGATAAAGTATTTGTCTCATGATATTAGAGTGAAATTCGGTTGTGGTTAGACTACTTGTTTAGAAACCATGATTTAGGGTAGTTTGTTAATGGTCCGTTTGGTCCATTTATACACTTTGATATTGTCTAGCCTGATTCGGGTTGAGGTGGCGTGTTAAAGTATTTGTCCAACACCGAAAAACTATAAAAATAATAAAACACCATATAAGACTTTGAACTATTCCTCTTATGAGATTCACCTTTTAGTATGGAGCCCTGAGCCTTAACATTTTTTGTGAGCAACACTTTTTTTTATATTATAGGTGTTCTTTCCTTTATAAATTGTACCGATTAAATTCTTATTTTGCTATATACTGAGTAGCATATACTATCTATATAGCAAAGTATGATGAGTGTTCTTTCATTTTTAATGCAGGGCTATATACTTGGTAATCCATTAACGTTTCCGCTAGAAGCTAATTACAAGTTCCCATTCGCACATGGAATGGGGCTTATTTCTGACGAGCTTTTCGAGGTAAATGAGCTTTTATCTGATCTATGTACTATGAAAAAAATTACCATACAGTGCCAAATACAATGACTGATGGTTTACGTTTTATGTCTAAGCAGTCACTGAAGAAGAATTGCGAGGGAGAATCGTTTTTAAACATAAACCCAGAAAACGTGAAGTGTTACAACAATTATCAAACATTCAGGCTGGTAAACTAAACAAATTATTTTAAGGAATTGCTCTAGATGAAAATAAAAAATGTCATATTTTTATTTCCTAAATACGAGTAATTACTGACATGTTTATTCTTTTAATATTTTTCTTAATATTTTTATTAAGTCATACATTGTTTTTACTTTGGGTGATTTCTTACGTAGTTGACTGACGGAGTAAATGAGAATCAGATCTTAGAGGCTCAATGCGAAGAAAGCAATTTGTTAATGCCCATCCAAAAGGAGTTTGGTCGATCAAGGTTACTCCTTGAGAAGTCTAAAAATATCATCGGTCTTGATGCACTTCCTTTTGTGAAATGTCGGGTATGTGTCACACTATATGTATTATATACATATTATGTATCAATATTATGTTCTTTATTAAGAGCATCTTCTGCAATAATGTGTACAGTGCACATGAGGCATGAGAGTTGATGCAAAAAAACAAATCATTCACATTTCTCTCTTTCTTTTCATTGTTTTGTAGAATTTTGATAATTTTTTCACAATAATTGTTTTATTAACCACAATGTTTACATGTAGACATTTGGATTAAAATTGTGGAGAAAAAATTATCAAAAACATATAAATCTTTCAAATAAGAAAAGAAATATATTGCTCATTAATACTCCGTATTTATGTATCTCTCTCTCACGGCACATGTGTGCCATACACATTGTGACATTAGAGATACTCTAAGTTGATTTTCTGTGTTTTGGTGTTAACATTGGACCATTATCTTAACATTATATACCGATATCTATATTTTAAATTAATATCCAGGAATTATCCCAAATAAGAGTAAAACATACTAATAATTCTTAAGTAGTGGTGTATGTACCCAATATAGAACTCAATATTACTAATAATATACCCTTCTTTTATTAATATAACAATTTAAAACACTTAATTATTTTCCCAAATTAGCTCATGCTAGCAATCCACCTAATGGACTTCACCAACTTTAATATCTATACATAGAAGACCTTCATTAATGAATAATGAAGAGATCGATGTTCTCCAATACTGTTCCTACTGAAAATGGTAAATTTCATACTACAAAGCCCACAAGGACAAACCAAGTAAAGTGTTTAATGTAGCGTGCACATATATTATAAATAAATACTATCTCTGTCCTAAATTAATAGTATCGTTTTGTTTGGACCTGTGGGATATATAAGAAAATGAGATAAAAATAGGTAAAATATTCTTTGCTTTAAGTAATGTAGCAGTGAAAAAGTAAATAAAAATGTAATTACAAAGTTGTAGATTTAAGTAAAAGGGATGGTAAATTATGACTGATAGGTATGATAGTCTGCCAAAAAGGAACATAACCTTTATTTTGGGACAATACAAAGAGGAAATATGTAACTATTATTTCGGGATGGATGGAGTAGATAACACGAGGATTAAAATATATTGATTAAATGTACTTGAATGCTTAAATTGTTGTTGAAATTGCTGCATTATGAAAAACATTTAAAATATACGAGTATTTTATTAACTATATAAAAAGAAAAAACTATACAAAAAGCCATAATAATTCTCTTAAGTAAATTTAAACATAAAAGTAACTGCATCTCTATTTATATGAAGCATTACATAATGTACCTCGTGAAATAAGAAAATTATTGTTTGAAAACAAAGTAGATTAATAAGACATAAACTTAAAAAGATTACCAAGTGTGCCCTTGTTATTATTGCTATTGTTGTTATTGTTGCACCTTAATCACATATTGTTGCAAAATTCAGTCAGATTGGTATGACTTGTCTAAGTATTGGGCTAATGACGAAAGCGTTAGAGATGCACTCCACGTAAGAAAGGTACGACTCTTGTCACCCTAAACCAATATCAATGTTCAAAAACCAGGACTTCACCTTCCTAAAGTGAGTGCTAAATTATCATTTGTTTATCGATCTATATGTCTATTGTAAATTTCCATAATGATGATAGTTTTTGTTTTATAATATATAGATTGAGACCATGAAAGGAAAGTATTGATTAGCACTCTCTTCAGGAAAATCCAATTACTAGAACTCCTTACTAATGTTAACATTTTTCCTTTTATTTCATCTACTACTTAAGAAAATGGTTTGTACTTTGTATTTCTTATGGATTGGTGAAATTAAGGGAAATATGGATAGTGATTAATGAATGGCCGCAGGGATCTCTTGAGAGGTGGAGTAGATGCAACAAAGAATTGGATTATGTATTCACAAGATATGACGTGATTCCATATCATCTAAACCTTAGCATTAAAGGCTATAGATCACTTGTTTACAGGTTTGAATAAAATATATTCTAGCTCATACCTCGACACCTTTACACAAAAAGAATTTTGTAGTTAATATTATTTTTCTATCTTTTACAAAATATCAATCATACACTTTGTAGTTATAATTAAATTGTGATAGTTGACTATTTTTTCAATATTTTCATTCAGCGGAGATCATGACTTTGTCATAGCCTTCCTTTCAACACAAGCATGGATACGATCTCTAAACTATTCTATTATTGATGAGTGGCGACCATGGATGGTTGATGACCAAATTGCAGGGTAAGACAATAATACCTCCCTTTATTTGTCACTTTTTTTTCATTTAATTAAGAGAATATTACCTGAAATAGGATTAAAAAAGTTTGAAAATTCCAAAATAGAACTGCCATGTTTTTATTCCCAAAATAGGACTAATTACTGTCATGTTTTGGCAGTATCAGACTTCAAACATGACAGTATTTTTCAAACTTGGCAGTAATTACTCTTACTTTGGGAATAAAAAACATGACAGTCCTATTTTTGAAATTTTCAAACTGTTTTAATCCTATTTCTGGAACTTTCCCTTTAATTAATTTGTGGTTCAGTTTATTTTTCTCCCTACACAAACTTGAATGATAACAATTTTTATTTCCTTATTTCACATGTCAGTTAAACTTGTTACCTCAAATGAATCATAATTTTTCACTATCCATTTTTCTGATTATTCACGCACAAACATACACATATAATTAACTTCAGATCAGTGTAATTAATGAACTCTTGATTTATGATGTGTACACTAATTGTTGAATAATTAATATAATACAGGTACACAAGAAGTTATTCAAATAAAATGACATTTGCAACTGTGAAGGGAGGCGGCCATACTGCACCTGAGTATAAACCCAATGAGTGTTTGGCAATGTTGAGAAGATGGCTTTCTTATAGATTACTTTGATTGTTTTAAAAATGATGTATGGAAAAGTACAAAATCATGTAACATTTGGGACTCTATTGAATACAATAAAGTACGGCACTAAAGTCGTTGTGTGCCTTAAAATAAATTCAATACTTGCACTTATACGTAAGATAGTTTAGTAAGGATCGTATCCACAAGGAAAAGATCGAAATCTTTCTTACCATTAAATTGTAAAAAGGGGGATTTAGATTGTTGTTGAACATAGAAGTATTTAAACACTAAAATGAACGACTTATGTATTATAAATTAATAGAGATGGAGACTTGGTTTTGCTTATATCCACTTAGTGAAATGTTTGTCGATCCCAGTTATATTTTTAACTGTCTTCCTCTTGAATACTCAGTCGTAGAGTATTTCCAATTCATTTAGGGTAGTTATTAATAACGAGGCGCGTTTATTAATAAAACTTATTATCAAGTCAATATAGAACACGCGCATGCATTAATTATCCAAGTTTACTACCGTTGAAAGGACCGAGCGAATAACAAGTGTATTCGTCGATCAATTCTAGTAATAATTAATATATGAAACAAAACTAGTTGATCGTTTAAGTAATGCTCAAATATTAATATGATATACTCCATATAAAATAGAAACTTGACCGGGTATAAGAACAATTTTCCAAATCTTCATTTTATCTTGTTCCCTTAGCATTTTCTTTGGTCTTCCAAATACCCTTTTGATGATCTTTACCTACTTTAAGCTCAGAATAATCATAATCTAAACAAATTACTAGGGGCGGGCAAGAATCCCGGTCCCGTTGTCCCATTCCGGTATATCCCGAAACCGTACCGGTGTTGTCCCGTTCCGTTTGGGTCTCATTGATTTTGTCCCGCACCGGTCCCGTACCGGTTTAAAGCGGGACGGGACCGGGACATTGGAAGGTTATCCCGAACCGTCCCGTTGTCCCGTTTGTAATAACTATATAGATTTTGTAGCATGTGACTAGTGTGTAATGTCAACTCAAAAAATAAATGGTAACATGTTTTTAGTTCTTCAAGCCCAATTTTTAAATTAAAAATAATACCTAACATGAATATTTACTAACATAGATTTTTATCCCACTTTATATATCTACATATGAGTATCTCACAGCTAGAACAAATGATTTTGAATAAACTAATTCATTTTTGCTTTGTTTTAAATTTAAATTTCAAATTTCGGTAAACCTAACAAAATCTAATACGTAGTAACTTTTAGCTTGTGATGAACATCAATTAACTTTTAAAATAAAAAAAATTGATAGTAATAATCCCAACTATTGGTGGTCCGCTCATAATAATGCCAACTATCGATTATTTCAGAATAATCCCAACTTTAGGGACCTTCCGCCAATAGTGGTCTCTATAAATAAATTTATGTAGTTTCTAAAGTGGATGAGGAGTGATATAGTAAGTAATCCCTATAAATAATCTCAACTTTTAATTTTTACAATTAATTTCTATTTAAAATTCACTTTTTATAGGAGGTAATATCTGACCATGGACCATTATTGGCGGACAATCCATATAGTTGGGTTATACAAAAATAATCAATAGTTGGGATTATTATCAGCGGACTGACAATATTTGGGATTATTATTTTCAATTTTTCCTTTAAAATATTAATATTATGGTGCATGATGCTTTAGAGTTTAGAAATGCTAATATATTAATTACAAATGATTATTTTTTGTTAGTTTGGGACGTCTCGAACCGTTCCGAACCATCCCGGTCCCGATTTAAATGGGACAAGATTAGGACAAAGGCTTGTCCCGTCCCGTCCCGTTATTATTAATTGGGACGGGACCGGGATAACCCTAATCCCGAACCGTCCCGACCCATGCCCACCCCTACAAATTACAAACAACTAGAAAAATAAAGTCTTACACAAAAAATGTGTAATTTCCAAAATAACAACAAATAAAACTAGTTAAAATTACAAACACAAACAACAGCAATTCTATACTAATAATACTAGCAAACTCCCCCCTACTTAATCCATTACTCGTCCTCGAGTAAACATTAACAAAACATTTCACAATCCACAGAAATAGACAAATTCAAAGGAATAAAATGTTCAGTTTTACATTCATCCCCAAATTACAAAAAAGAGGGTCTTCATGATCTTCACGAACAAATATTCTTTTCATTGCTTAAATCCCAAAAACTCCCTGTATAAAAAAAGATAAAATTTCCTCTCATTCTGTCTAGGAACCTTTTCAGGTTTTCATTCTAGCCTCTTTTTTATTTTCCGATTTCTTCCAACATACTCATTTTAGCCACTTTTTCTTAGATTGCCCATTTTTTGGGTTTTCAATCTAACTAACATATTTTCTTTTAATTATATTTTTTTTGTTTTTTTTGTGTGTGAAGAAAATAATGCAAGTTACAAGGTAGAAAAGGAATGAGTGCATACCAAATCAGTGACTCCCCCTACTTAGTCCGAGCATTGTCCCTAGTGCTCCCCGCCACCATCATCGCCTTGGTAGCCATGAATTCTTTGTTCTTGAGAAATTGGGATTTGAGGACTTTTTGGCTAGTTTTTCGGGTTTGGGGATTTGGGGATTTGGGGAGGTAAATTGGGTTTTGATGGTATGGGAGTGGAGAGAGAGATATGAGGAGAAGATTTTTATGGGTTTAATTTGAGATTTTGGTGAGGAGTTGCGATGATTTGGAAGACGAAAATTCGTGGCTATGGGGTTTGGGGAAGATTAGTTTGAAAGTTGGGGAAGAAGGAGTATGTTCAAATGGGCTGGAGAATAAAATTGGGAGTAAAATCTCATATACCCGTTTGGGTATATGGAAATACCCGATTGGGTATTCTTAATTTGTTTTTTGGTTTTTCCCTTTTTCGCATACCCAACGGGTTTTGTAAGTATATCCGGACGGATATGCACTCTAGGGGCTGGCAGAATTCTTTTTTTTTTTTTTGCATATACCCGATCGCGTATATTGATTTACCCGATCACGTATAATTTCATTTATCATTTTTATGTCATACCCGACAGTTTTTTTACTCGAGTATCAGATTTTAGCATAATATCCGACCGCGTATATGAAATACTATACCCGGCCGGGTATTTAGTCCCAGGCCTAAAAAAATCATTTTCTTTGCAAAATTAAATGGTGCTCTCCCTCACCACACTCAAATGAAATAAAATAAAACAACACACAAAATACAAACTTGGGTTGCCTCCGAAAAAGCGCCTTATTTAACGTCGCGGCACAACGTTATTTTTGTTTTATTTTCAGTTTTAAGTTGGATCGTGAACATCCCTTTTTTATTCCCTAAGACCTTGTTTGGCCATGTGTCATTTTTCTTCTCCGGCCTTTTCCAGTAAGGCCGGACATTAAGCTCACATTGAGTAAATTTCAGCAATTCACCTCCTATCAAAGATGATTCCTCATGCTCATTTTTTTTGCTTTTAAAAAAATTGAGATATTCTCAGCTTCCTTTTAACAAAAACATTTGTTCTTGTGGTTCAAAAACATTTAAAGAACAAAAAGCTTGATCTTTAATTTGTTTTTTCATAGAATCAAATATGTTGAATTCTACTTTTTGGTCATCGAACTCTAAAGTTAATGAACAACTAGACACGCCAATTTTTTTTGCGGTTTTCAAGAAAGGTCTACCCAAAAGGAAAAGTACAATGCAAACTACAAAAACGCCAATATGTTGATTTTTTTTTTTGCGGTTTTCATCGAACTCTAATGTTGTTTGGTCATCATCTCTCATTTGAAGAGAATAAAAGTCAACAAGGAAAACTACAGTTTCTATTTCTACTAGCACGTCTTCTACTACACCCTTAGGGTAAGTATTAGACTGATCCGCTAGTTGAATCACTACACCAGTTTGGTGTAGCAGACCGAGTTGTAAGGATTCATACAAAGAGTAAGGAATCACATTTAGTGATTCTCCTAAATCCAACAAGGCCTTAGAAAACAAGGTGTCCCCTATCTTACAAGGAATAGTGAACATGCCCGAGTCGCTGCATTTTTTGGGGGGTTTCTTTTGAAAAATAGCCGATACACATTCACTAACTTCTACTTTTTGTTTCCCTTTCAATTTGTTTTTCCTTTTAATTTAATTAAGGAGTGGAGTATTTATCTTACAATGAGCGAAGGTCTCGTATATATCCCGATCATTCTCTAGCCTCCTTGCATCCTTTAGTGCCTCAGGGAATGAAGGGAGTGGCTCATATGACGTCGGTGGAAAGAACTTGGTCTTTGTTGGTTCTACCTTCTCTTTTTCTTTGACTTCCTCGTTGCAGCCAATCTGATCTTCATCGTCTTTCTCTTCAGTTTCTTTTGCTTGCAACTCCTTACCGCTTCTCAACATGATTGCTCTGTTGTCTCGAATTTTGTTCTGTTTGAGATGGGAGTTCACCCGAGTCTTTTGCTTCGAGTCAGCTCACGACATTCAAAATTTGGCTAACTTGAGTTTCCAAATTTTGAATGCTCGACTTTGTCTCATGTTAGAATTGTATCATGGGTTGTTGGAATTGTCCCATATTTTGTTGCATGGTAACCATATTTGAGGTTTGATGGTACTAAGGGCTTGAACAGGTCCAGATACAGAAACGAATACTTAATTCCGGACCAGCCCAGACAAGGATTAATGCGGCATCCCTAAAAGCACGAACAGGGAGATACATATCCACCACGAGGCTGGCAATGCCTAAGCCGACCTAGACAGCAGGCACCAGGCTTAGTGGTAATCCCGTGGAGGTCAGACTCTCCCTAGGGCTTAAGAACGAGTCACAAGGACCCGGACAGGAGGATTCAGATCCATCATGAGGTAAACCACCTAAGCCGACCTGGACAGCAGGAGCCAAGCTCAGTGGAAATCCCTTGCAGGTCAGACTCTTCTTAGGGCTTACGTGGCAATAGTTACTTAACGGATGAACATAAGTGGCATCAGAAGAGTCATGGGCACAAAGGAGGCATTAAAAACATGAGTTATGGCAGAAACGTTACAAGAGTCCTACTACAATTATAGTCATTAATTACAATAATTAAGTCTCCTATTAATTGTACAATACTACACCTATAAATACTCATGTGCATATCTTGTAAAAGGGGAGCCCCTCCATAATAATAAGATTATTATTACTTTCTTTCCTTCGATCAATGAATATTTGATAGATTAAGCTCTTCTTGTTGGAATTATATTCCATCAAGGTTAAAGTTAGGATCATGTCATCTGTTGACATACTAGATTGACAAGGGCGGACTTGTTGAGAAATTTCATATCTCAAATTAGTCATTATCCCAAATAGGAGT